AAAAAAAAAAAAATTGGACAGAGCAAAAAATACCTAGAGTAGTGTTTCTCAATGAGGGGCAATTTTAACCACCTAGGGATATGTGGCAATGTCTTGAGACATTTTTAGTCACCACTGGCAGGGGAGGTGTGCTTCTGGCATGTAGTGGAAACAAGCCAAGGATGTTGTTAAACATCATACAATGCACAGGACAGTCCCCCACAACAGAGAATTATCTGGCTCAAAATGTCAACATGGTACAAGAAAACTTAAAGAACAAATGTAGGCAAAGGAAAAAAGGACACAAAACATTGAGAGAAAAGGTAGTAGGGGAGAGAAAGATGAAAAAAAAAAAGATAACTAAACATGCCTATAATCCCAGCACTTTGAGAGGCTGAGGCAGAAGGACAGGTGGAGGCCAGGATGTTCAAGACCAGCCTGGATAACAGAGACCTCATCTCTACAAATTTTTTTTCTTTTTTTTTAATCATTACAAAATTGTTTTTTAAAATTAGTAGGCACAGCGGCACACCCCTGTGGCCCCATGTACTTAGGAGGCTAAGCCAGGAGAATCTCCTGAGGCCAGGAGTTTCGGATCGCAGTGAGCTATGATTTCACCAGTGCCTTCCAGCCTGGGTAAAAGAATGAGACCCCATCTCCCCCCCTCCCGCCACCAAAAAAGGGAAAGAAAGAAAAATTTTAAAAGATAAAGAGCAAGGGTACCATCAACTGTTATTTTAGGTGCAGCACAACAGCATTTCCGGCTATGATGTGTTATTTTCTAAGATGATACTGACATCATCTCATCTACCTTGTAACTAAAGCTTCATATCACCAGTACTCACTAGTGATTGGCATGAATCTGCTATCGCCTATTAGAATGCTAGATTCTTCTCTCCAGTCTTTCACAATCTATCCATTTTTTATAATAATTGACTCATTCATACAACAAATATGAACTGAGCATCTACTACATGCTAGATATTAGGCATACAGTGTTAGGTGAAAACTGTTAAGAGTAGAACTGACATTACCATGGTGTAAAGGAGACAGAAGCTACTGATATATCTAGTTTATTGTTCCTAAGTGAATTAGTTCACAATTCTTTGTACTGACAGAGATTCAACTATTAAACTTCTCCAATTTTCCCAAGTCACTCTGAATTCAAAACTACCCTTGTAATGATGATCACTGTTACTCCTGTCCAGGCTAGTGCCAAATGCATATGTAATAAGCACACTTTCTAGTTCATCATTCATAAAGCAGTGATTCTTCAAGCAGACACAAGCCTTTCAACTTCTAAAAAAAGTACAAAAGTATGTGGAAACTGACATAGCTTCTACTCATGCTAAGGCTTCTAGAGCTTTACAGATAAACTTACCACTTTATGACAGAAAGTGAAAGGAAAACATTGACAGTTACTGGAGGATTTATAATCCAAAACAAATCACCTTAAAGGATACCTCACAATAAAACCTCCAACTCAGAAAATACTAAAATCCATTAGAAGACTGGTCTAAGAGCACCAACACCTACTTCTCTTGTCACTCTCCTATACTCAAAAGACTGTAGGCTAAAGAAGCACTCAGCAGACATCTGCCCTTGTGTGCATGTCTTAAGTCAGGCTTTAGGATCCCTAAGTTTCCACAGCTAGGAAGGAAGAACTCTATCTACCAAAGGAACACTCAAAATTCAGTATCTTTGTAGGGACTAAAGTGGTGAAGTAATAGGGTTTTGTATGCACTATCTTCCCTGAGATTTATATGGAAATCCGTGGTGGATGGTGAAACCATATAACAGTCTTGGTGTTTACTGAAATCAGTAATATGGTACAGGAAACTGAGCACAGAAGGAAGGGGTATGGGTCAGAAGGACACGGAGGAAAGGAAATGTTACTCTTGCCTTTAGAGATAATTAGTTGACCATATTCTCCCTAAGGATGACCCCCTGGCAGCTGTACCTAGGGATTTAGCATGACTGCCTTGAGGAGCTCATTAGGGGGTGAGCTGGAAGGCAGAGGAAAGAGAAACCCAGAGGGATAGGGGTAAGGGGTTAGGGAAAGACTGTTTTTAAAGGGGGGTTTTAGTAAAGGCAGAGAAAGAAGAGTCAGAGAGATAGAGAGTAATATTTCCCAAACTTCATGAACACAGTAGGAGAGAGCGTGAAGGGAAGAGAAGGTGGAGGCCTCTAAGTATTCACACCCTGTGCCCTCAGTTACAAACACAGTCTAGTTGCTAACAATATTAAATTCCAAAATGACTTGTAATGTAGGAAAATAAAATAAACATCCTGCACACTTACCCAATCCGGGTAAACAGCTTCCCATGGGCATGGAGAAAACTGAGGATGAACCTTTTGTTCAGCTGCATGGGAAAAAGGGAGAGGAGAAAACAATTAAACTTTCCCCAGTTTCCTGTTACTGAACAGAGTCCCCAGTGACACAATAACCTGGCCAGGGTCTAAGGGGTGGGCACTAGGGATGGGAACCAAATGGACAGGACCAAACTCTCACACAGATCCAGGGCACATGCCCAACAGCTGCCACTCAGCTGAGCCAAGATGACAGCCAGAGGAGTGAGCGAACAGCACCCTCTGCTGGCAATGGCACCTGTATGCAAAGACTCTGAACACAGTGAATCCGAATATAAAGGAAGGTGGCCTGCAGTTCTCTGTGACCTAAGAGTCACTCAAGCTCCGTAACGACAGAAATGAAACTCTGACAAAGGAAAGGATAATTGTGGTATGAGAGAAGTTTCTGATCTATTTATGAGCTATTTTTCTACCTATTCGAGAAAACAAGACTCTTCTTTGATAACTAAGTGTAAGATAACCCATCATTACCCAGCTCATCAAATTGTACTTTATGAGCTTTTAAAACCAAAGTTCAAATTTTAGGTCTGAAAGCTGAAAATTCGAAGTGTGTACAGGGCACAAGCATGAAGCAGACTGGTAGGGAAAGTAGCAACCTATGGCTATTCGACTCTAGTTGTGGCCAAATGCTCTATGTGGCCCCAAGCTGGAAGCTGGAATCTGGGTTTTTAAGTGAAATCCTCTAGCTTTTAAATGATGGCCATTAATGAAAATAATTTAAACATTAAGAAAGCCATGAACTCACATTTGCCAGCCATATCCAGCCCATCACCCACCCATTTACAACCTTGGTTCAAAATTCTAGAAAACCTATTTCCATGAAAACCAAGACATCCTTCTGAGCAAAACAAGGGAGAGAAAAAAACAATTCAATTCAAATCTAAAGAAACGCAGAGACACTCTAAAGCAGTGGTTCTCGACATTCCTAATGCCATAGCCCTTTAATATAGTTCCTGTGGATCGCAACCCACAGGTTGAGAACCGCTGCTCTAAAGACCAAACCTCCTTGTTATCACCCGTGCTCTCTTAGAAGCAATATATTCAGAACCCTATCGCTAGGTAGGAAGAGGGGTCCAGTCTTGATCTCAGGAGTGTGGTCAGAAGTCTAGCACCTCTTGAAAGTGTCCTAAGAAAAACTCTTCAAGTTTATCACACTACAAAACAGAACACAAATTATGGCAGCTCCACCTATTTTTCTTTTTTTTTTGAGACAGAGCCTCAAGCTGTCCCCCTGGGTAGAGTGCCGTAGCATCACAGCTCACAGCAACCTCCAACTCCTGGGCTC